AATTTGGAAATAATATTTTATTTGAGTAAAAGTTACTCGGAAAAAGTAATTAAAGTAAACTACTAATTACCGAATAAAAAATGTAATTGAAAGTTACTAAACAACTAAGAAAAATAATTAAACTAGAGTAACTTGAGTAGAGAAGTTGAACTACGCACAAGTGTGGCTGAATGTTACTATAAGCATGGATACAGAAAACACCAAATTATATCACAACAAGTTTGACTGGATATGTTTTAACTAAGCTTTCAACATGCTAGATACCCAATGTTCAGTCGTTTTTTAGTAATCTACAGTACTTTCAATCTGATAGCTAAAAAACAAGATATATTCCTCTACTGTAAAGTGCAAGTAGCGTGTTTTGTTGGCGTTAAAATCACGCTAAAATTACTAGGCCGTGACTTATTGCATATTGCGTACTGCATAGTTCGTCAGCCTTGTTCTTTTAAAAAGAAATGGGTGTGAAAAATGTGCAGTCGTTCGTTGAAGGCTTCTACAATACCAGCCAGCGGTGTGCCGGTCATTTTCGTCACCGGCGGTACCGTCGTAGACTAATTGCGTTTCTCCATGAAGCACGGCTACGTACGCGGAACACAATGCGCGTGCTCGCGTGCAGTCTGAAATCTCATCTGCAGGTAAAAGTGCTCGCATCCACAACATTGGTACGCCGCTTTCGTCAAAATCGTTGTCTAAAGGGTTGTTTTTTTTTCTCTCTCAAGATGTACACGTGCGACCAAGAACGGTTCGAAGCGCGTGCCGCCACCCAGTAGTTTATTTCGTTGTTGTTGTTTGTTGACACCATCAGCCATGTGGCAGTCATTTTCGTCACCGGCGGTACCGTCGTAGACTAATTGCGTTTCTCCATGAAGCACGGCTACGTACGCGGAACACAATGCGCGTGCTCGCGTGCAGTCTGAAATCTCATCTGCAGGTAAAAGTGCTCGCATCCACAACATTGGTACGCCGCTTTCGTCAAAATCGTTGTCTAAAGGGTTGTTTTTTTTTCTCTCTCAAGATGTACACGTGCGACCAAGAACGGTTCGAAGCGCGTGCCGCCACCCAGTAGTTTATTTCGTTGTTGTTGTTTGTTGACACCATCAGCCATGTGGCAGTCATTTTCGTCACCGGCGGTACCGTCGTAGACTAATTGCGTTTCTCCATGAAGCACGGCTACGTACGCGGAACACAATGCGCGTGCTCGCGTGCAGTCTGAAATCTCATCTGCAGGTAAAAGTGCTCGCATCCACAACATTGGTACGCTGCTTTCGTCAAAATCGTTTTCTAAAGGGTTGTTTTTTTTTCTCTCTCAAGATGTACACGTGCGACCAAGAACGGTTCGAAGCGCGTGCCGCCACCCAGTAGTTTATTTTGTTGTTGTTGTTTGTTGACACCATCAGCCATGTGGCAGTCATTTTCGTCACCGGCGGTACCGTCGTAGACTAATTGCGTTTCTCCATGAAGCACGGCTACGTACGCGGAACACAATGCGCGTGCTCGCGTGCAGTCTGAAATCTCATCTGCAGGTAAAAGTGCTCGCATCCACAACATTGGTACGCCGCTTTCGTCAAAATCGTTGTCTAAAGGGTTTTTTTTTTTTTTTCTCTCTCAAGATGTACACGTGCGACCAAGAACGGTTCGAAGCGCGTGCCGCCACCCAGTAGTTTATTTTGTTGTTGTTGTTTGTTGACACCATCAGCCATGTGGCAGTCATTTTCGTCACCGGCGGTACCGTCGTAGACTAATTGCGTTTCTCCATGAAGCACGGCTACGTACGCGGAACACAATGCGCGTGCTCGCGTGCAGTCTGAAATCTCATCTGCAGGTAAAAGTGCTCGCATCCACAACATTGGTACGCTGCTTTCGTCAAAATCGTTGTCTAAAGGGTTGTTTTTTTTTCTCTCTCAAGATGTACACGTGCGACCAAGAACGGTTCGAAGCGCGTGCCGCCACCCAGTAGTTTATTTTGTTGTTGTTGTTTGTTGACACCATCAGCCATGTGGCAGTCATTTTCGTCACCGGCGGTACCGTCGTAGACTAATTGCGTTTCTCCATGAAGCACGGCTACGTACGCGGAACACAATGCGCGTGCTCGCGTGCAGTCTGAAATCTCATCTGCAGGTAAAAGTGCTCGCATCCACAACATTGGTACGCTGCTTTCGTCAAAATCGTTGTCTAAAGGGTTGTTTTTTTTTCTCTCTCAAGATGTACACGTGCGACCAAGAACGGTTCGAAGCGCGTGCCGCCACCCAGTAGTTTATTTTGTTGTTGTTGTTTGTTGACACCATCAGCCATGTGGCAGTCATTTTCGTCACCGGCGGTACCGTCGTAGACTAATTGCGTTTCTCCATGAAGCACGGCTACGTACGCGGAACACAATGCGCGTGCTCGCGTGCAGTCTGAAATCTCATCTGCAGGTAAAAGTGCTCGCATCCACAACATTGGTACGCCGCTTTCGTCAAAATCGTTGTCTAAAGGGTTGTTTTTTTTTCTCTCTCAAGATGTACACGTGCGACCAAGAACGGTTCGAAGCGCGTGCCGCCACCCAGTAGTTTATTTTGTTGTTGTTGTTTGTTGACACCATCAGCCATGTGGCAGTCATTTTCGTCACCGGCGGTACCGTCGTAGACTAATTGCGTTTCTCCATGAAGCACGGCTACGTACGCGGAACACAATGCGCGTGCTCGCGTGCAGTCTGAAATCTCATCTGCAGGTAAAAGTGCTCGCATCCACAACATTGGTACGCTGCTTTCGTCAAAATCGTTGTCTAAAGGGTTGTTTTTTTTTCTCTCTCAAGATGTACACGTGCGACCAAGAACGGTTCGAAGCGCGTGCCGCCACCCAGTAGTTTATTTTGTTGTTGTTGTTTGTTGACACCATCAGCCATGTGGCAGTCATTTTCGTCACCGGCGGTACCGTCGTAGACTAATTGCGTTTCTCCATGAAGCACGGCTACGTACGCGGAACACAATGCGCGTGCTCGCGTGCAGTCTGAAATCTCATCTGCAGGTAAAAGTGCTCGCATCCACAACATTGGTACGCCGCTTTCGTCAAAATCGTTGTCTAAAGGGTTGTTTTTTTTTCTCTCTCAAGATGTACACGTGCGACCAAGAACGGTTCGAAGCGCGTGCCGCCACCCAGTAGTTTATTTTGTTGTTGTTGTTTGTTGACACCATCAGCCATGTGGCAGTCATTTTCGTCACCGGCGGTACCGTCGTAGACTAATTGCGTTTCTCCATGAAGCACGGCTACGTACGCGGAACACAATGCGCGTGCTCGCGTGCAGTCTGAAATCTCATCTGCAGGTAAAAGTGCTCGCATCCACAACATTGGTACGCTGCTTTCGTCAAAATCGTTGTCTAAAGGGTTGTTTTTTTTTCTCTCTCAAGATGTACACGTGCGACCAAGAACGGTTCGAAGCGCGTGCCGCCACCCAGTAGTTTATTTTGTTGTTGTTGTTTGTTGACACCATCAGCCATGTGGCAGTCATTTTCGTCACCGGCGGTACCGTCGTAGACTAATTGCGTTTCTCCATGAAGCACGGCTACGTACGCGGAACACAATGCGCGTGCTCGCGTGCAGTCTGAAATCTCATCTGCAGGTAAAAGTGCTCGCATCCACAACATTGGTACGCCGCTTTCGTCAAAATCGTTGTCTAAAGGGTTGTTTTTTTTTCTCTCTCAAGATGTACACGTGCGACCAAGAACGGTTCGAAGCGCGTGCCGCCACCCAGTAGTTTATTTTGTTGTTGTTGTTTGTTGACACCATCAGCCATGTGGCAGTCATTTTCGTCACCGGCGGTACCGTCGTAGACTAATTGCGTTTCTCCATGAAGCACGGCTACGTACGCGGAACACAATGCGCGTGCTCGCGTGCAGTCTGAAATCTCATCTGCAGGTAAAAGTGCTCGCATCCACAACATTGGTACGCTGCTTTCGTCAAAATCGTTGTCTAAAGGGTTGTTTTTTTTTCTCTCTCAAGATGTACACGTGCGACCAAGAACGGTTCGAAGCGCGTGCCGCCACCCAGTAGTTTATTTTGTTGTTGTTGTTTGTTGACACCATCAGCCATGTGGCAGTCATTTTCGTCACCGGCGGTACCGTCGTAGACTAATTGCGTTTCTCCATGAAGCACGGCTACGTACGCGGAACACAATGCGCGTGCTCGCGTGCAGTCTGAAATCTCATCTGCAGGTAAAAGTGCTCGCATCCACAACATTGGTACGCCGCTTTCGTCAAAATCGTTGTCTAAAGGGTTGTTTTTTTTTCTCTCTCAAGATGTACACGTGCGACCAAGAACGGTTCGAAGCGCGTGCCGCCACCCAGTAGTTTATTTTGTTGTTGTTGTTTGTTGACACCATCAGCCATGTGGCAGTCATTTTCGTCACCGGCGGTACCGTCGTAGACTAATTGCGTTTCTCCATGAAGCACGGCTACGTACGCGGAACACAATGCGCGTGCTCGCGTGCAGTCTGAAATCTCATCTGCAGGTAAAAGTGCTCGCATCCACAACATTGGTACGCTGCTTTCGTCAAAATCGTTGTCTAAAGGGTTGTTTTTTTTTCTCTCTCAAGATGTACACGTGCGACCAAGAACGGTTCGAAGCGCGTGCCGCCACCCAGTAGTTTATTTTGTTGTTGTTGTTTGTTGACACCATCAGCCATGTGGCAGTCATTTTCGTCACCGGCGGTACCGTCGTAGACTAATTGCGTTTCTCCATGAAGCACGGCTACGTACGCGGAACACAATGCGCGTGCTCGCGTGCAGTCTGAAATCTCATCTGCAGGTAAAAGTGCTCGCATCCACAACATTGGTACGCCGCTTTCGTCAGTTTTTTTTTTTTTTTTTTGTCTTTTTTTTTTTTAAGATGGGACTTGTACGATTGAAAACGGTTCGAAGTGTGGGGTATACTCTGAGACGACGGGTGGAAGAGAGAAAGACTTTCCACCTTATATAAGTGCCAACTTGGTCGACGTTCAGAGTATGTTCAGCCGAGTAGCCGACATGGGAGACGCTCCAAAAGTACAAGTGGACCTTATTAAGATTCCTGGCTTTACGGTTCCTGACGATTTGAAGGACCATTTCGACTATGTAGGCAGTGGTTTATTAGATCGCACCAAGACTGTTCTTCGTTGCCGTTACTGTAGTGAGGAAAAGTCCGGCGTCAAGAAGCAGACGGGAAATTTCAAGAGGCATCTGAATGTGAGTACAACTTTTTAATTTTTACTTTCACGCTTTTCTCGGGATAATCTCCTGATGCGTTGCACCACAGAAGTATGCTAGATTGTGTGTAATCACTGGATTGTGGAGTGTGTGTTTTAATCTAAATCCACTTAAAGACGCTGTAAATTATTTTGTTTTATTTTTAAGTAAATCTTTAAAATTGCTTAGTCAAAAAAAAAAAAAAAAAAAAAAAACTCGACGCATTATTTAAAGAGAGTTGCAGTCCGAAAGTTCAAATCCGTATTCCGATCAGATCCTCTTACTTCCACAGAGATCCTTTGTATACGGCTCTAACTCGACAACATCGTAATATTTGCTTCTCATTATATATAAATTCCTGCCGAAATTATGTTCTGCGATGCGCTCCGATCATCAATAATTTATAAAATCCGTTTACACATTTAGTCATTGAGACAGGGTAACAATATTGAAATTCAGTGACTGTGCAGTTTTTCTGGCGGAAAGGGTCACATCCCATTTGCTCAAAAGAACGGATTCCCCTTAGTGATTGAGGTTTTTAGCCACTCTTGTCTCTTGAACTTATGATCAAAGACTAGTGTTCCGAGTTAAGTATGATTTCCTTGGCAGTTAGGTTCAAATGCTTTTTGTATTCTTCAATTCTCCCTTTAGGTTTTTTTTTTTTTTTAATTGGAACTAGATTAAACGTATGGAAGGCAACTTTGACTCCTTGTCAAAAAAAAAAAAAAAGCCATTGGGTTCTTGCTGTCTTGTGCTCTACACTCGCCGAGTTCGAGCGAGGTTGTCGCACGCGCAAAAATACTAAAGTTCCCTCAATGCATTGTAGCAGCGGTGGCGTAGTCAAACTGTCTGGTGGGTGACATCGGTCGATAAAATCGGTTCAAAAATCTTTTTTTTTTTTTTTTTTTTTTTTTTTTTTTTTTTACAGGCAGTTGATTTTACTCAAGCTGCTCATATTGTTTGAGATACTATTACGCACCATGTTTAGAGGGAGACACATTGTTTTTAGCTTTTATGATCTTTTTTTTTTTCAAAATCGCTAACTTGCTGCCCGTTAAGAATTATGGCAAGAAACAATTATCACTGCATGCGTAACATAAGATATCTGATGATGTATTACTCGTATTCGTAATATGCATTAAAATCTATAAAGCACAAATTAGTGAAAATAATAAACTTTAAAACTTTTAAAATAAATTAAAAATAATTTTTCTTGTTTTGTGTCAAATGCTTTCCTTGAAAATCTTCGAATCTATACATTGATTGACATTTCGCTCCAGACTCGTGAAAATCTTCAAATTTTGGGGTATTTAAGGTAGATTTCCTTTAAAATCATTTTTTTCCTTCAGTCTCTTTCAGTTGCCTATATTATGAGAAATGTATTAATATAGATATTCGGTCAGATTTGTTTAATTTTATTCCCCCTACGTCGTATCAGACCGTGGCGCGAGCCAGACTTAATATTCCTAGCTCGACAAGGGAGTATTTCTTTATGCGCCGAGAAACGGAGGGAGAGGAGGGGACGAGAGCACGCGGGGACGTCAGAATGCCGAGCTCTGGTTCTAAGTTCTAACAAGTAAGTAGACTTAAAGCTCGCAGCCTTTTTCTCCACGGCACTAGTTGATCGCTTTAAATTGACAAGCGTGGGCGTCCGGCGTTTGGCTCTCGGATTCCAACGCTTTCGAAGAGTGCAGCGGAGACTAAAACCTGGGTCCCGCTGCTTATACATCCCACCAAAGACTTAAAGACGCTGTAAAGACTTAAGACCAAAGACTTAAAGACGCCAACACAAGTCACCGCAATATCCGGGGTTCGAATGCCGCGCGCCAAAATTTATCCTTGAACTCATTCGCACGCAGCCATCGAAGCATGGGTCTCATGGTGACTCGCGTTCGAATCTGTATGCACAGTCTTATGAATGATGTATAAGCAGCGTGCCCCCGGCTTAAGGCAGCTAGCTTTAGGTCTACCTTCTTATTATTTGAATTAGAGCTCGGCGTTCTACGTCCCCGCGCCCTCTCGTCGCCTCATCTCCTTCACTTTCTCGGCGCATTCGATTAATCGGTCAAGTATTATGAGACAACGATAAGCGTGATAAATGGAATGAACCCTTCATGCAGCAGTTTAGCACATGTGTCGTTTTCGTGCGGCACATGCATTAAGGATTGAGTGAGAACATGCGTGTACAACCCGGCCCATTGCGATCACTCTTCTTTCCTTGCTGCCGAAGTCGCTGAGATAAATGGCGTCACATTTAATCACTATTAGTTAAACCGTTATATATATACATTGAACTTGCTTGCATCCCAGTTTAAGTGAAGAATAATAGAAACTCGGGAGAGTTAGATATGTATCTTTAAAAACTAAAATCAGTGTAAGCAAGACGGACCATCACAGAAGACGTACACCGACAGAGCTGAAAGTCAGAGCTTTGTCCGCGTACATTTTCTCTGGTCCTTTGTGTTGTTTGCGCTATTTTTAATTTTTAAGAATCCCAGTGCAAAGTTGCTTTAAATAGCGATGCCGAAAGAAAACTACCACCTAAGCCCCATGTGCCATTTGAAGCACATTTTGGTGCGTATCTATATGTGAATGTTATGTTGTAGTATTGTAGTTGTGCAAGTAGAAGGTTCAATTTAAATATTGATTGGTTCGAATTTTTTACGATGAACGATGATGTTAATGTTTTACTTTCTTGAAAGGTTTGTTCTTCAGTTTATCTTTTTATATGTATTTTTCACTTTATTGTTAGAACGGGTAATCAATGTATTTGCACCCTTCCCCTTTTTTTTTTTTTTTTTGTTCCATTCTTTCTAACGAACACCTAATACACCTCTTACTGCGCCTTTTCTGAACCTCGGGATCCGACCTAAGAGCTTCACCGCAGTGTTGCAATCAATCCCCATAATAAGAACAAAATGGGAGATAGCTGTTAATTTGATATCATATTGTTCAAATTAGTTATTTATGTTATTTGCTACATCGACTCAAATGAGTATCCAAATACCTGTTTCCTGTGCGCGCTTTACGCAATCACTCTTGCCGAAAACTACCTTTTCTTTCTGGCGATCATTTTTCAGATTAAAATGTCCCCTGTGCTTGATGCAACTGAGTACTCACTAGTACCACATTCAAAGTCGAGATGATTTTCTTTTTAATGCAATATTTGTTTGAAATATTACGTCAGAAAGGACATTCTTGGTAAAGAAGGGAGTAAGATTGTAGTCGTTATGAGCTTCTTCAAGTTTTGCGTGAACCACACGCAGGAAACGGTTTTACCTACTCTTTCAAATCTATGTCACAAATGGCGCACACAACGACAAGATAGAGTATTTAGCTGCTTTATGCGGTGTGGTTACTTTTTTTTCTTCTTTTTTTAGTGGTTGCAGAGCTACGGCGACGCTAAAATGCCAAATCGCGATATTCACACACTGTACGATGTCTTTTTAACGGCCGGTAACAAAAAATACAGAAAAAAGAAATTGCTGCGGTCTGAAAACAAGTTTGATATATGTAACCAAGAATAACCATTAGATCTTTCAATATGGCTTACCTAATATTGGCATATTATTTATCTCACCACCCGGTTAATATTTGCATACAGCAGGTCCATGCAAGCACACACTCAATGCTTAATCCGACGCGCGCAAATTCCGCACGACAACTACATTCATGCTAAAGTTCTCCCCAGGGGATTCATCACTGTTTACCTCATTTTACACACGTATCGCTGTCCCAAAGGAACTTCAGCTATTCTTCTCATAAAGCATACTCCTTTGCCAAAGTTTGAACTATCATGTCTGACTCGCCACGGTATGAGATTAGAGGCGACGTAAGGGGTACAGTGCTCCAGTTAGACCTTGTCCAATATTTTGGGGTTAATCTTACAATTGTGAGAAATATATATATATATATATATATATATATATATATATATATATATATATATATATATATCTAAGTGAAAAACTCACGGTGAGAAACAACAAACAGCGGAAGTTTAATATATAATATATATATATATATATATATATATATATATATATATATATATATATATATATATATATATATCTAAGTGAAAAACTCACGGTGAGAAACAACAGACAGCGGAAGTTTAATCGACAGTTTCGCTGAGAGACTCGACTTCGTCAGGAGAATACGTCATATAAAGTACGACGATGACAACGAAAATAATCCTTGAAGAAGGGGAACTTACTCGAAAATTCACATCATCACAGATACCTACTTGCAGGAAAACAAAGAAAGGAAAAAACACAAAGCGTAACATCGGGCGCATGACATTCGGGGGGGGAGGGGGGGGGGGGAATAGACGTTCGTCTGTTTCCCTTTAATCGAACATAAATCACTTGTGACACTGAGCAATCCGCTAGCAGTGTGAATTGCAAACCTATTTCAAGCAACATATGACAAACAATTGTAAACATGAGTAGCAGTTATCATTGAAGTTTTAACCCACTTTGTCCACTAATCTCGCTTCCCGAGGCGTCCAGCCAGGTGCCGAAAATATATAGTCATTGAAAGCTTAAGAAACTCCACGCACAGCTTTATGTTCACGCGTCCTGCTTCATGATTCGTTCTTCGGCCTTCCTATAGGTGAAAGGAACCGTGAATTAAATTTTTTGGCTGGGTAAATGATTTTAGATTAGTATTTTACTAATCTAAAAGAGAGTAGAAAGTCACAAGTCTGCTTTTCGGTACAAAAATTCGAAAATAGATCGGACAATTTCGTACCTTGTTTCCTTCGAAAGCTATCCGCGTTTTCGTTGTGATACATCCACAGTACTCAAAGCACGTCAGTCGGTTCAGCTCGAACATCGGATACGAGCGCCGCGTCACTCGAACGCCGTGCTCGTGTCGTCAACAATCAAGCGTGCTCGTCAACAGTTACTCCGTCGGCGAACAATTGGATTCGCGTTCGTGGCCAATGAAGTGCCGTGACGGTACTTATCATCTCCTGCGAATGACAAGCTCTATACTGTGCTTAAAAGCACGGTGTAAGCTTGGAGTCATCGCGCCGGTGCTCAAGCACGTGACGACGACGTGATTTCTTATTTCGCTTTTGAGTTGAGGAGGAAAGCTAAAAAGAAAGAACTTGAAAAATTCTTTTAAGACTGCAATTTCATCGGCTGCAGAGCGATAATTAGATAGACTTTCGTCATTGACTAGATGGCTCAGCATCACTGGGTCCTCTATATAGCACATTGGGCGTTCATACGTAAATCAATAAACACATTCTTCAGCTGGCTGTGATATCTGGCGTCAGCGTATATGATAATTAACATCGATTTTATTCGTGCTCGCTGCTCTCGGTTCTGCGGGCACCGCAGCGGCGACACAACTGCCAGACACACTTTATATATATATATATATATATATATATATATATATATATATATATATATATATATATATATATATATATATATATATATATATATATATATATATATATATATATATATATATACCTAAGTGAAAAACTCACGGTGAGAAACAACAAACAGCGGAAGTTTAATCGACAGTTTCGCTGAGAGACTCGGCTTCGTCAGGAGATGACTTACACACACACACACACACACATATATATATATATATATATATCTTTTTTTTTCTTTTTTCTGCGCATTTTTGTTTTTCTAGCATGACAGAAAAAAAAATAGCATCCGATATTTCTTTTAGGCACCACTCAGTTCCATTTATATTCCAGCTAAAATTCCACTATTCGCATACCCCTATAAATAACTTTTTTTTTCTTCTCGTTTGGTAACATATTCTTTTGTCGCCTTTTTTACTTTCAATTCTGCAGTTATAACTTAGAAGTGACTCAAGCTCACCGCTAAAGACAACAACAAAGAAACAAAAAAAAAACAAATTAAAAGAAATGTTTTTTTTTTTATAGATTCAACACAAAGAAGCGTACGCTGATGCTCAGACCAAGAAGCAGAGGACTCTGGACAGTGCCGTTGCTGTCTTCAAGCAACATCAACAAGAGAAAAAGAAGCTGGCACCATCGGACAGTTATCAGAAGGCGTTTAATAGATATCTCGCCGAGATGATCGCCGTCGACGGCCTTCCTCTCTCATTTACAAAGGGTCTTGGTTTCAAGCGCCTCATGGAATTTTTGAAACCGGAGGTGAATGTGATGTCTCCCCGGACAATGGGAAGAATTCTTGAAGACCTCGCAAAAAAGTGCGCCATGCCATCGCTGGCAGCGGATCTGGCTCAGTGCTCAAGCCGCTCGCTGCATTTTATTGTGGACTTATGGTCTAGCAGGTCAAGGGACTCGATAATTGGTATAAAAGTTCAGTTCGTTTCAAATTGGAAATTGAACACCTATACCCTTGCATTTAAACATTTCCCCGGTAATCACACCGGTGATCATATCAGGGAGGCATTCGAACACGAGCTTTTGGAACGCGGCATTAAGCTGCACCAGATCGGGTGCGTTGTTTGTGACAACGCATCCAACATGAGCAAAGCATTCAACATGTCTATGATCATGGAGGACAAGTGGTGCGGCAGCGCTGCGGCAACTGATCCTGATTGCGAAGAAGATGAAGCCAGCCCTGAAGACTGCTCTGCCGCGGAGCTTGATCTTTCTAGAGCACTCAGCCCGTGCCACCGCATCAGATGCGCTGCACATACTCTGCAGCTGGCAGTAAATGGCGCCCTCAGGAAAGACCAAGCCTCCAAGGAGCTTCTCGACATAGTCAACAGGGTAGTCAACCTCTTCAGGAGGTCTCCCCTGTGGACAGGGCGTCTCAAGGAAATTTGCAGTAAGGACCTGGTCCCAGCAACCGGAACCCGCTGGAATTCAGTCTTGGCCGCACTGAAGCGCCTCATCCAGGTATGCGCTTTTAGAATATATCTAGAAAAGTGTTTTCTCAAAGGTTTTCTACATATCCTTTAGAATTGAATGAGTTATCTACTATCAGTAAATGACACTAATTGCCTTAATATGTTTTCAGAGGTGTCCGCAAAGTGCAATTCAACACATACTGTAACTGACAAAAATTCGGCATATATGTCTCTTGATTCGTGAAAAATAAAACGTGAAAATGTATTAAGGTATATCATGGGAAATTAAAATAGCTGAGTATTATAGTGCATTTATTTAACGTAGACTTCAACAATATAACGAAGTAAAGATGAGCCCGATTACAAAATATTTGACCGATAACGTTGCGCCATTTCTTGTGCCTTATGCCTAGTTCGTTGCACATAAAAACCACACGGAACTTCAACCTTAAACTCCCCCCCCCCCCCTCCTTCAAAAAAAAAAAAAAAAATGGCGTGTTTACGGAAGTTTTTAGTTTCCGAAGATTTGCGCCCACAAAAAAAAAAAAGAAGAAAAAAACACAAAGTGACTGAGTACTTAATGCGCCTTGTCGTGTTGAGTACTACTGAGTTCATTCACACTACGGACGCTACCCGTATATCTTTTATAGCACATGCAAACGTAAGCGCAAGAAGCGGAACGATTTCTTTGTGTAGAAACAATCGCGGTCTAAACTAACTCATTCCGCTTCTTGCGCTTAGGTTCGCGTGCGTTATGAGAGATCGGCGAGCTCCGTTCGTACTGTGAACTTAGGAAAGGTAGAGGAAAGCTTCAATTTGTTTAGCGCGATGTCATGTATGTATCAAGTCAAAGCAGCTTCGCACTAGTTCGTAACGATTGAACCTTGTTTTAAGCAAGCTCTGGCGGGCACATTGTTTTAGTGTTCGTTTGAGCCCGTACTGGCAGCCTGGCAAATCTATAACAATTTAATGTCCACCTAAAACAGCAACGTACACAAAGGTCTTATTTCCGGGAACATGCTTGCTATACTCAGTTTCACATTGAAAGGAGAACATGAATCCTAGGGTTTAAACAGGCATAAATATCTCCCTGTATAAAAATCTGAAATAATCATAGTACATCAAATATCAGTGTAATTGTAATGCACACCATGCCGCATATCCAATTTATGAGCATTATAAATTTCGTGTGCTGATATAACGAGGTTGGGTCTTTTTTTAAGACGGTGGACTTTCGTGAACGTTCGGTAGAAAAGCCTTCCATGACGTATGTGGGCTCAACTTTGGCCCAAAACCAATCTTGCAGGCAGATGTCTTCGATGCTGTCGAGCAGCTCGTACAAGAGCACAACGAAACCCGGACAGGCAGGGCTATTGAGGCTGTGCCTCCCATCTTCACACAATCGCGCCTGGCTGAACTGCAAGGCCTCCTCAAGCCGCTCGGCGATGCAACCGACAGACTTCAAGGGGACGGAGTTACATCCGCAATCTTGCATCTCTGCATCAGCACGTGCTACATCCAGATAAAAACCTACCCGGCTGAAGAGTGAGATACATATTTATTATTTTTACCTAAAGATTCAAAACTAGAGTCACTAACAGCCAAGGCGGATAATAAAATTCAAGATTCCAATCAGACCACCTTTACTATAATGATTTAAATAAAACCTTTCGCGCAAAGAGAATTCCAAAAATTTGTCTGTATTTACCTTTTGGCCATTATATGTGCTGTTATGCGCATCTGTGTCCTATTTAAATTAAAGATTCACCACACAAGGAAGATTTATATAAAGCTGAACACAAGGAAAGAACAGTACTCTTCAACGCAGATCGAAGCATTGACCGTTTGTTATACCTTCCACTTTGTTCGTCAAGTACGCAATGCCCTACTGCAAGCAAATCAGAATGCGGAAGAAACATACGGAAAAATAGAAAAGTAATGTCGCATTTCAAGCAAATCAGAACGTAAAAAAAGGAAAGAAATAAAGCCTTTTATTCAAACTAGGATATCAAGTTTTTGATTTTGTATGAAAATGTTTATATCAATGAAAAATTGTTAATCTAATTTTACTTTTAATTTACAGCAATTATTTCTTCCACATTGTTAACTATCAGTGATCGTACGGATCAAAAATCAATCTCAAATGTTTAAAAATGGTTCTAGTGAAAAATAATAACTATTTTCTACAGTAATTTAAATCAAATAAATCTGACATGATTATTATTGAAATTTTTTCCCACTTTTCTGACGCTTCGATAAGGCATGACGTGGCGAGCATATTATCGCTTTGCAGTCAATAAGATTACGGCAACAGCTGATAAAAATACCGGAGAACAAATCACGTGGTTAGAAAAAACAAACAAAATAAGCCAAGCTCTGCGTTTATTGAGTTGTCAGTGACTGTAAGTGAAAGCTGTTTTATGTGTCATATTCAAGTATTTCTGCAAACAAAGCAATCGAAGAAGCTTAAATTATTAGGATTTTATAGGAGTGATTTAGATTTTGTAGGGCGGTGCCTCGTTTCAACGTAACTTAGCAAGCAGTTAAGTTGCGGCCCGCGCGAGTCAATCGCGGGGTCTTGCGAAAAGCTCCAGAGAACCAACCACAGCCGTCTATAAACAGCGGCCTATCCACCGCGGCCAATCACTGCGGCTCAGCGAATGAAAAAGTCTAAAAAAACATCGCTACCAAACCTTCCCCTTCCTTAGAAGTCTAGGCCCTCTGGAGTGCATTGCGGGAAAGTAGACCGTCAAATATCCTAGATTTTACCGTTGAAAAGCACTCCAGTGCGGAGCAAGAGTCTTCCCCTTTAAAAGCAATGTTGTAACGAAATAAGCTGGTGGTTGTGTTGTTTGCAAAACAATTTTGGCCTGCCACGCACGACGTGAAGTCTCCACCTCGTCAAGCTGTCAAATGCACGTGCACTACATCGTCATAGCTTCAAGTGCGAACTAGTCCGCGCGGCTTGCTTTATTGATTTGCCTTTCTAGTGCATGCGCTCGTTTTGAGGAAGAAAGGTTGAAAGTCGTGATCTCGTGCTCGCGCGCTTCTAGCCTTGGTCGCGGTCTCAGCTTAAAGCCACGGCCCACTGCCTATACATCATAAAAAAAGCACAGTGTTCGCTGGAGACATAATCATAAAGTTATCTGTGGACTATAAACCTTAGAAAAAAAGGCTTCTGGCCAGTTCTGCTTTCAATGTTCTTGCGTATTGCGCGTGATTTGGTCGCCTTCTTAAGCTACGTACGTGCGCGTGCTGGGGTGAGGGGATCCCACGCTGGGCTGAGGACTTGTAAATTTTGAAATGGTCTATACTCTGTTTCATTCTTAGTTTACAACGCTGTCCCCGCTCATTCACACTGGAGGCGGATCCGCGTTCGCAAAGCGGTTTAGAACGCGGTTGTATAAAGATCCAGTACAATTGCACGCGCACTCGATGACATCAAGTGCGCGTGCATTTGTACTGGTTCTTTATGCAACCGCGTTCGCAACCGCTTTGCGAACGCGGATCCGCTTCCAGTGTGAATGAGCGGTTAGAGCTACAGGCTCGAGCATGGGGCTTGATCTCGTTGACCATTTGCACGCGTTCTCGCGCAGACCACACCATAGATGAAGCCACGCGCTCGCACAAGTAGCTTTGACAGCGTTGTATACTAAGTTTGGAGTATACACCATTCCAATCCTCAGCCCAGCGTGCGATCACCTCAGCCCAGCACGCGCATCTTCGTCACTTCGGAAGACAAGCAAATCACGCGCAATACGCACGAACACTGAAAATGAAACCTGTTATACTTCGTCTCACTTTAGCATGGACTAACTGTGAAGGCTGTGCAAGCGAGAGCGGGTAGCCTTGAGTTCCTTGACTGGAGCACTCGCTGCACGAGCGCTCGTGTAGCCGCCGAGGCTTCTTCCAAAGCAAACAGCTCGCGCTTTTAGCGTGCGCGGCTAACAATAGTCCATTCTAAGGTGAGACGAAGTATAGGAGCCCTTTTTAGGAAAGGTTTATTAGCGGCGAGATGTTTTGGTGGTGCCCTCGTACGGTTACCTTTCGTGGCGTCATTACCTCGCGAACAACAAGTTCGATGGTGTTTGTAATTAGCATGGCGGAAGCTTGAAATCATAGCGTTCTTAAACCAACACCGTCAAAATTAAAGTCCTCGCGCTCCTCTTATTTCCGTCCATGAGAAGTCCTTTGCTGACGTCATAGTCAGCTTTTGGGCCAATCGTGGAAGGCCGACCACCGCGACGCTTTCGGTCGTGCACGTCGCCAATAGGGAAGATTCACTGTCGGCCATAGCTGTGTGCGCGACTGCTGAGCGCGTGCTGACGCCGAGCTTCCACAGTTCTTTCGCCGCGTGCATTCCGCACCATCAAGATTGCCGGTCTTAGCAGCCTATTAATGGCAGCTCGCTCTGAGCATGCGCTCTAAAGAGCACCCACAAATATGGCGTCCTGTGAATACTCCCTATAGGGTGCCCCAATGTTCTTCTGTTTAGGATTATTCTATCCTTTGTAATTCCCGATGCCGACACCACGTGCTCACACACACAAAAAAAAAACACACTTCGCTGAAAACAAAATACCGCTGCAGCACAGTCAACGCCAACAGCGCGTGAAAAAGAACGCTGTTTCACTTACTTCAGGAAAAAAAAAAAAAAGCGTTGGGAACAAAATGTCATCAGCCCAAGCAAAGCGCACATAAGGCACCTTCAAGCATGTTAGATGCATGCTTGCCTTGTATCTATACACTGTTTATATTATGACCGTCATGCAAGGAAGAAACACGCTCCAGACAGTGACCGCAGACTGTCTTTTCTGTGATGTATGCTATCCAAGCACAAGCGAGCCAAGTTAGCTCTGCAGGTTGTCTGGTTTGCAAACATATTTGCCTAGAAAAAAAGCATTCAAATGCTACGCGCTGACGCCTGTTCCTCCTACAATGGTGCGCAATACTTCTAAGATCAGTATAAACTACTAATCATGACGCCGCAAGTAAAGCGCATTCATCTTGACACGCTCCAGCACAAACTATCGGATAACGGTTGCAAAGGTCAGCCTACAGAAGTTTCCTGCAAGAGTGGGTTCTATCATATTGAAAATTTGGAAGTCAAGATTTAATGAAAACTGTGAAATCTTGTAAAAGTGCATCCTATACAGCCAAGTGAAGCAAATAACAATAATATGAATCGCAATTTTCTTTTCCCAGT